CCCTTTTAATTGGGGGATTGTCATGTAATTTTGACTGACTTAATATGCTAAGACTTTTTCAGCAGTATTTCCCCACACCAGATGTAAGGTGCTGTTGAAACAGTGTAGGAAATTAAGGCCCTATTTCAATACTGATATTTTCTCATTTAAAAAAAATAAGTATAAAATAAGCAGTCTGGTCTGCTGTACTGTTATTTCTGAGCAACCAAACTTTTTTCCCCCTCATGGGATACAAACAATGTATTCTTTGGAAAATTTTCTCAGATCTAAATGTTTTTTTATTCTCTAGAAATACTCATTTTCAGGAAGAGGAGTAATGCATACTGAATCCCTACCATTTTTCATTTTGTTCTTAAACTAAGAGCTGATCCATCCATTCTATTGTTAAATATGGTTACAAAAGAAGTCTTTGTGACCACAGACATGAACAATTTATGTACAGTTTGAATGCTACTCAAATCTATGGAAATTCAAATAGTATACTTACCACTGTTATGAAAGCTTTCAGTATTTTTAAAATACTCTCACATTATATAATTTTCTTTTAGAAGTGAGAGATATTGAGTTATAAAGAAGATATATATGTTAATATGTCATGATATAGAGCTATATTATATTCACTGCTAATATATTTTGCTAATATATATAAATATATATATATATTATATATATATATATATTTTGAGACAGAGTGCAGAATGGTATGAATAGTCAGAATTCAAAGCTCAGAAAAACAGATTTTCAGTGACTTCCAAGGGCATGAAGCTCAGAAATACTGACAAATAATAGTAAAATAGAGAGTCCAGTAGTATGATGTTTAAGCATGCTTGGGGACAGTGCTTAGGAAAACTGTATATGTTACTATACAGAAAACCAAAAGTAAGTGAATAAAAGTTATTCTCACTTTAAAAGTTTGGATATACCTGTCTATGGCCTAACCTTACAAAATTACACTGGTAAAACCAAATCATGCTAGATCTCAAAATAATTGGTTGTGAAAGCTGTTTAAAAATAATACTGCTCACATTACCTCCTTGGTTCTATTGGTAATAAATGGCTGACTCTTAAATCCTGTGCATTTAAAAATATTTCTGAGGATGATGTTAATGCTGCACTCTGCTCTTCCTGGTGCATTCTCTCCTCTGTCAGACCAGTCCCTGAAGTCACTGAGCTATATAGAATCTATCTATCTGTCCACTATGGGGTTAAATACATATCTGATCTTGTAGATAAAGCCTAGATAAAAGGATCAACAAAAGAATGCAGATTTCAGAACCTGAAAGATAAAAAGTATTAAAATATTTTCAAAGTTATTTCTAGTAAGACTGAGGTTTTGCCTGTTTCTCTACCGAACCACAACAGTATGGGGAGAGTTTCCACAAAACAGTTTGGCTGGCTTTTGTGAAGTTAATGCCAGAGTGCTTGCTGGTGTGCCTAAAAAGTAGCAAGCCAATGATGCCCTCATTCTATAATGCTCTAATAATCATCCTACTGTAATTCCAGAGTTTAAGAAATATTTTCTTCAAGACATGATAAATGACGTGAGACGAATAATCAGATCACTTGAAAGTTTTATAAATCACATGTTTAGGTTCAGCTTTTTCCTTGCTGTTCAATCTGAACCTTGCAACTATGTAGCCTCTTACTCACGTGTATATTGATATTTTATTTCATTTATTTGACTAAATTAAACAGCATTTATTTCTAAAGCAGAATCAAATTCAATACCAGGTTGAAAAAATGTATGCAGAATAGGAATCAGTACATCAATGGAATTAAAAATATCTGATTAAAAATGAGGCTTTCACAGCCTGTGGCCAGAAAATACTTTAAAGGCAACAGAATATTCCTAACTTCTAAAATAGGTTTTACAGATCTGGCTTTAGTAATCAGTTTGTTGTTTTCATATATGATTGCTAATGGCAAATCTCTAAAACTTTGTTCAGTATCTCTGGTGGTGTTATGTATGAAGTGAGGAGTGTCACTCTCAAAAATCTAATAGGGTTGCAGATGTTGTGGCAAGTGAGACTATGATGAAGTTAATCTTTCATAAAAAAATAGAGATGTAAGTCTACTAAAACTGTATTAATAATGGTTTCTTGAAAGTTCAGCTGATTCACTCATGTCTCCTTCTAGTAGTCCTTGGATTTAAATAGATATGAATCTTTGGATTCATATTTCTAGTAATCACATTTTGAGTAATCACAAGAACATCACACGCTAGTTGAAAAATCTTTGGCTTGTTATAGAATTTACAGCACACCAAATTGTTTCTAGTTTTCATTCCACCTACAGAAAATGAAGTAATTCAGAATATTGAACTTATGAAAGTGAATTCATTTCCTTTGTAACCCAGACTGTTAACCTGAGTTCACGATTGTAATGCTAGGATCAGTATTTTCTTTTTTCAGTTCCTTTTATTAAGGAAGGAACTGCTTTGCAATGCCATCACATTCTTTGAAAATTATTTGAGATATACTGCTTAGTACCCCTACAACATAACTCATGACACCAGGAATTTTACAAAACTGTTTTTCTGCTTTTATCCATTGCTGTTATTTTAGGTTATTGCACTATTACAATTCTGAGAATGGCTGAGGTTAAATTATTGATTGATAATATGACTTTCCATTAAAAGCTAAAAATAGCATTTAGTCTAAAGTGGTGAATTGTTCTGGAAGCTATTTCTAAAAGTGTATTTATTATTCATTGACAATACTTGCACTTCATGCATAAGTTTAGATAAATATTTCTTAAAAACTCTGCTGTTTGTTTTTCTATTTACAGAGTATGATGGCCTATCTCAGTTACTTTGTGCTACTTTTGTTTTCTGCTAGGCTATTTGAAGCGTTTCATAGAGCATAATTCTAAAGAATATATTATCTTGTCAGTACACAAATCCCCCTATTTGCATATCAATATGGCATTTATATAGAGCCCAGCCATTCTTCTCAAATTTATGCAAGACAAAAATCCGGGTACATGAAAATTTTGAAGTGAGTAACAAGGAATGTGGCAAAACAGCTCTAAACCAGAATGTGAGACTACATGCAGGTGTTGGGTTTGCTTATTTAGCCACCTCAAGGTTTGATCTGCTTTGTAGTATAGGAAATAATCTTTAACCTGCAATAATCATTACAAAATATTGGTGGAACTAGTCTGATGAGTGCATTTTCAGGTAACCTGTATCTGCAGGACCACTTGAGCTCAAGGTGAGATCCTTTAGCCTTGACAAATGAACTAGGTATGGAATGATTCCTGGAGTATGTTTTATGAAACTTATCTGAAGAGTTGCATTTGTATCATTCCAATTTCTAAAACAAAAAGCCATGCAGGACTGAGTACAATGCCACGAGAGGCATTTACAGTGCTGTAAGCATCAGCACATATTCTTGAAACAAGACCCTAGGCTCCAGAGGTGGGAGATTGAGAATAGAACCATTGGCATGAGGGAGCTCACAGACAGGATGAACTGGGTTTATATAAGCTCATCCATATGCAAACAGTCCAGTGAGTTGCCAGAGCTGTGCCAGCATGCCACCCACTCAAGTAACGTCTTTATTATTCATTGAAAGATGCTGCAGTTTTCTTGTGGTGCTGCAGAGCCTGTGTTAGCAGGGGATAAATATTACAGAAGGTGGTTATAGAGTTTGTGTGTAATAAGGCAAGTTCCTGTTGAGAACCTGACTTTTTGTCAGGAAGCAGAGATAGATTGTTGCTCCCTAAAAAGCAAGGAGATGTCTGCACCCAGTGGGCAGAGCCAGGTGCTGGTGATACACTCCACTGACCACTGAAGTTAACTTAATGTTACCTGAAATACCAAATGCAACCTAGCCTTAACTCTAAAGAAATCTTGGGGTATTTTAATCTCAGGCAAGTTATTTCATTTTTAAATGAACATTTTTTTAACCTGTTCTAAAAATATTTGAAAGGGGAAATAGGAGAAAAGGATTAGAAAAGAGACTGATGTGAAACAAAACAAAAAAAATTGTAGTAGCTGGAGGTGAGGGATGACCAAAAAGCAAATGACCATAATTTAAAAGGAAAATAAAAAGTAGTGAGATAAACAGGGAGCATAGAAAATGAATTGTAAAATGAAGTTAGAAAGGATAGAAAGGAGAGAAGGGAATTCACCTGATCAGCTGCTCAAAGGAGTTGTTCACTCTGAAATCTGATGTACTGGGGGCAAGGGAGCCTCTGAATCCAGCTAGGCAAAAGCTAACAGGAAAAAAAAAAAGTGCCACACTCTTGTAGGTTGAACCTGATTTATAAAATAACCACAGGATAAATCTTTAATCTTCCATCATTTACAATTTCATGATTCAGAATTTCAAAAATATGTGACAGTGTATGCTTCTCATTTTCACAGCTCTTCACAGGACCTTGCAGCAGTTACCAAATCTATGAAATCAAGAGTGAAATCTATGAAATCATTTCTTTAACAGCTGTATTTATTTGTGTATGTATTTATCATATCTTTAACAGCTTGAGATATCTCTGTGCAGATACCTTTTTTTGAGCACTTTCTTCAAATAGTTCTGTGTTACCCAGTTCTGTGTTACCTAGTTCTGCTTGTTTGCTAGTCCAGTGTTGCTTAGCACAGGGCTGTAAAAAGATTTGCTCAAATTTGAAATTACATAAATTTTGGTTTATGGCACCAGAAATTATATGATAAAGGGTTGAGCTTCCTTAGTATTTTTAGCAAGACTATGTAGTATACATTTTTTATATATATGCACTCAGTGTACTAGCTTTTAACAGTAATCTAAAATCTTTACTGAATTAAGTAAAATATTTTGATTGGCCATGGTGTCATGTAAATTTTCAAGGTTTTTTTGCCTTACTAGACGAAAGCAGTGAAAATGATTACTCATAGGTGGTGAGTGTAGTGTTACTATTATCCCGTAAAACTTCCCAAGACAAGGACAGAAATTGCTCTGAGAGAGTAACTCCTTTTTTTCAGAAAATGTTATTAACTTCCATTGAACTCAGAATAAGGATGACTCTTTCTTAGGTTGTATTTCATCAATCACCAGACTGTCAGAAAAATACATAAAGGACAATTAAGCATAAAGACGCTTTCCCTTTCAGGGAGGCATTTAGCTGCAATTTGCTGAAAACCGGGGAAAATGCTAGGAAAGGATCACTGGATGTCCATCTTATTGTTATGCAATTTTTTAGTCATCTAACAGTAGCCACTGTGGTTGAAGCTGATGAATGATGAATCTAGATGAGCTAGATAAAGCTGTACTCTGATCCAATGCAGCTGATCCTGTGGTCTTGCAGTAAAGCATCCATCTGTTCTTAACTAATTCCTTGTGATTCAGTAGGCTGCATCTTGTATTTCTGTTCTGTAAGCCAAGGATAGACATCTGATTGAAGTTGTGTGTGTTGCAATGCTATATAATGTATATATTTGATTATCCCAATGTCTTTAAAAAAAAAATATCCCCCAAATCTATTAATTTAAAATAGAAAATCAAAATCTGTAAAGACTAACTGTGTCTCAAGCAGTCTTGCTGCATAGATAGATAGATAGATAGATAGATAGATAGATAGATAGATAGATAGATAGATATTTCTCTGCATTATGGTAATGACATTCTTGAATAGAAATGAGTCCTAGTCCAGTGGCTGTGCTCTAGAAAACAGGTATTTTAATTTTTCAGTAAGATCTGCTCCTCATTGACTGAACAGCATGCGTTCTGAAGGAGGCTAAATTAAAGTTGTCAAAGCAATCAACTGAACATGAAAAATATTCTAACTTTGAAGTGTCTGTGATAAATGTATGTTTCATGATATAGTGGAGAGCTTTGACTGAGCTCTTTCTGGGTAAATAATACATCAACAGTCAGAAATGCAAACTTGTAGAAGGGCCAGCATGGTTCACAATGTACAGGTCAGCGCTGACAAATCATCTGTCAAGTAAAATGAATTTTCCTTGTTGACCTTGAGGTTATAGTTATTAAAGATACAGCACTTACCCAGTGGTAATGTAGAGTTATAATCAATATTGGTATAAAAATCAGAAAATAACTGTGAGGATGATTTTTCCTAGTCACTGAGGGTTTTTCCATTAGCTTGATTAGCTGTGATCTGAGCTATTTTTGGGAGTTCTGAGCCACACATAAGCAATGGAATGTAACCTTTAGATCATAGATACTATACTAGATAGTGTTACTTAAATTCAAGCTGTCCCTGTTGATTTTGTTTTGTTTCTGTATATGCCATGAAAAATGTCTCAAAAAGCACTCTCAGAGAAATATTCAGCATCACCAAATATTATCATCCACAGTACCATCATCCAATGAGCTAGGCTGCTGACAGAAGTTATGCATTTTATGCAAGGCATCCATTTTTTTTCAGAGTTTTTTATAAAAAAGATAATTTAAAATCTCTAAGCCTTCAGAGTTGCCTTATAATATAACTGAAATGAGTAGGATAAACCAGAATCCTGCACACCTTTCTTGGAACCTAGTATACTTCTCCCATAATAAACTTTAATTATAGTGGTCTGCTGGATGTTTGGCATATTTTTTCTCATACAACATCCTGTTCCTAGCTATCCTTATCTCCACTCCAGAATACATGCATTTGGTTAGTTTATTAGCTAGAACACCCTGCTATGCTGCCACCCAACACTGTCACACAAGTTCTGTCACAATGTAGACAGGTAACTTTTCTGTCTGCCTGAAATCATAAATATAAGGAGAAAAATTATATCCCATTTAGCTTTATATAAGGCTGGAAGCTTTAATAACAACAAAAAAAAAATTTTCATTACCTACTCTAGCATCAATTACTTCTTCAGCTTTACTAAACTTACCTGCCATCTTACCTAAATGATTCATTCTTTCATATTCTCTACTCAGAAAATTTTTGGTCACTACTTGTTGCTACTAAAATCCTCCACTTTTTGATTCCTTAATACCAGAAGTGTTTAGCAATTTCAAGAGGTATTCCTGTATCAAAAAAGAATTGTTTATAATAATCTGTTCATAATGACTGGGGGAACATCTCCTCTACAAGTAATCACTGCAGTTTCTTCTCCTTAGTCAAAAAAAAAAAGAAAAATCAAGAAAAATTAATATTGTTAACAGCAGAAAAAATAAAATTGAGAGGCCCTTAAATTACTTAGCATTTGGAGCAAATCTGCCTTAAAGCATGTTTGAAATCATGTGCCCTCTGATATCACAGATTCAGTCAATTCCAAACTCCACAATAAACATATTCTGAATCCCATTGGGAACAAGATGTCTTGTAGAAATTATCGTATAGCATACCAGATGGCATCTTTCTTGCAGACATCACTTCAGTGTGCTTCTTCTGTTGCCTTGGAGAAGAAAGAGCTCAGTACTGCTATCTCTGTAAGAGACTTAAGTGTCAGTTCTCCCCTGTAGGACTGGGTACATATTTTTTGATTGTGGTCTCACAGAAGGATTATCATGGAATTTATGTCCTTTGAAATCACAGGAAAGCATGTTAGTGTGTAAATATGTTGAGGTGAGACCATCTCACCGTCTGCTTGGTGTTTTCAATGTCAGCACCAGCTTCAGGCACAGGCAAAGTGTAGGCGCTGCCTGCAGCAGCCCACTGGTGGGGCTGGCACTGATTCATAGGCTAAAAAATCAAGAGACAGCCTTTTAGTCTCAAAGCAGGAGCATCTGCTCTAGGTTCCCATTGCACTGGCTCAGAAAAACTGCCCAAGAACCCCCCTGAGGTAAAACACCTGAACACCTGATCTGGAGGTCTTAAAGAGCTGCAAGTTCCCTAATCCAAACAGCCCTGGCTCTATTTTGTGCCTGCCTTCGCCTTTTGACGTTTGGCGGGAGCAGGAGGGAAGAAAAGCCTTTTAGGTAACAGGATACTTCAGCAATGAGACAATAGCCAGGGGTGAGGACTAGGCAGCAAGCTGACTGTTTCTCCTCACTTTCTTTCCCCTTGATGAGCAGCCTTATGTTGCGTTGATGCGTTCAGACATGTAGTTACATGGCAAAGGACAGAGTTGGAGGAGAGTTCACGGTGGGACCAGCAGTGCTGTAATCATCCAGGGCTGGAGCCATGGAGACAGTTAGACACAGTACCAACAGCTACATGAGGAAATGTGTCTGGGGAGCCACTCAGCAACTGAATTTTGCCTACACTGTTGCTAGGCATTGAGCCAAGCACTCATCACTGGCAGCATAGCTTCCATGCTGTTTATAGTAAGGTAAGGGAGAAGCAGTTTGACCATGAAACTAGTATATTGATTATTGTGTGCGCCTTTTTGTGGGCAGCAAATTTTTGGCATTGCAGAACACAATGCAGAGACATTTGTGTCTCTGCATTTATAGGAAATACAGGAGCCAGTCATGAATAATCCATTCAAAGGGATTATGCTTCACTAGATCTCTTTCTGATATCAATTTTTATGCTTACAGGGAAAAGGGGAAGACAGAATCAGGAATCCTTTTCAAAGAACTTTATTAATTCTCAGTCAAGAAAAATTCAGAAAGGATAGAACCCTCACCTTGTTTAAAATAACTTTGTTCTCAATTTGTCCTCTGAAGATCTTGCCTAGCCTTTTGAACTTGCCTACTATGGGAAAGTCCCCTGTATTTCAACTCAGCATAGCCTACCCTTCTTCATGCCTGGGCACAGTCCTGAAGGGATTATGATCTGTCTATATACAAATATATAGATTCATAGTAGAGAAAACTTTTAAAAATAGGGATAATTTGCAGACGTGTGAACAAATGCATTTCTATCTCCATGAGATCTAGATTTCCTATCAGTTTGTCATACCTACTTTCACTGAGAAGAAATTAATGATCCTTTCATTTATTTGAAGTACATTTAGCAGTTAGAATTCCCAAAGTTTCTTCAGCAACTGCAGGTTTACCAGTGCCTGGTGAGTGTTCAGTATTCTTTTTAAAAATGTCATGAACCTTTCAAACTTTCTGTAGTAAATTTATCAAGTCAGTAAGAATACCTGGAATGGAATAACAGAAGATCCTATAAATGATCTTAGGCAACCTTCCAACTTCATGAAAGATCTTCTGTGCTCAACTAAAATTATTCTTCATAATTATTATGGACTTCAGTTTGAATGAGATGTTTCACAAATCCAGGCAGCTGTCTCCAAGTGAGAGGTCATCCAGTTTTAGTCCAAGGACTAGTCAGATTGGAGATTAAACTCTTAAAATATTGTTAATTCCATTTATTTAGAATCTGTTCCGTGACTGATCAGGGACCTTCTGTGTGGCACTGGAAGAGACATTGTATCATAACGTGTTGGTCACACTGTAGGTTTAGATTGCTATGAAACAATTATCTGCCATGGTACCATCAGTCCCATATTATCCCCTTGACAAAAACCTATAATTTCCTCGTGCTGGAATTAAATTCCTCCTTAGAGATGGTCATTGCTCGAGATTCACAATGGATAAGAAACACAAAAAAGTAATTAATGTGCTCGATAAATGAAGCACCACTGATAGGATTCCTTCTAGAATTGTACCCTGAATATACCTATTTCCTGCCTTTTTTTGCTAAGTTCTTTCATATGGTTATGAAAAACTAAAGTTTAGTAAACATTCCTTTCAGAACAAAGGAATAAAACATTTCCATCTCAAGAGAAACTGTCATAAAGATGTAATGCAGATAGAAAATACACCATGAGGTATTTAGTTTCTTATGCAGAAAATGAATTTTCCGCTCATTCAAAATTCATAACCTTTTTTTTTTCCAGTTATAGTTCATAAAATTTAAATCTTCTCTAGAAATCATGCAAATCTTGTATGTCTACTTGCTATCATTCACATTTTTGTAAGAAAGGGTATAAACTTACCATTTTATTATTTTAATTATTCATTTGAAATGGTGACCTTTTCAGTTTGAATTATTATATGTTGGCATGAAGGTTTTCTTGTGTCTTATAATATTTTACAGTTGGAGAAATCATGCAGATAATCTAATTACTTTGACTAAAATTGTTGTGCCTTTTATGTCTTTTTCTGTACTATACGAGAGAAACTGTGAAATATATTAATTATTGATTCATTAAAGGGTTTTGCTATTATATAAGCAGAGATGCAGACCACTACTTATCTTACATTAGAGGGGGAAAGGGGAAGGCATAGTAAACCATGCCATGGGCTATGCTTTAAGTATTGCATCCCTTAATGTCTTGTGAAATGTAAAAATCTACAACAAATAGATATGTAAAGCGTAACTGGTATGAAGATTCTATTCAGATTTAAGTGCTCTGGGTTGCTTTTGAATCTTGCTATTTTCTGCATTTGTTTTGACTGCTCTCATCATTCAAGATTGACGCTTGGATGGGTGTGTAGGAGGAAGCAGCAGCAGCAGGCTTACAGCTTGCAGACAAAAAAAAAAATCTGCCTTATCTGATGGCTATTATTGAAAATGCGAGGTGTAGCCTAGGCTGGGTAATGAAGGGGAGCGAGCGAGGGGGAGCAAGAAGCATGGAGCTGCATACTGATGAGTGTAGGAGTACTTGATAAAAAGAATTCTTGCTGCTGGCAGTGCATTGCTCATTGTGGAGTATTCCAACAATCACATATAACGGAGAACAGCTTAGCTGACAGCTTGATATGCTTTTTTTTTTTTTTCCCCCTACTGTATGACGTACTGGTCTGTAGTAAAGATTAATAACCAAGAAATGTAGAGCTGCGATCAGATCTTACGTTATATACTGCCCTGAAAACTATGTTTTACTTCTGACTTTTCTGTTTGCTGAAAACATTAATCTGTCAAGCTGGCGGGCTCGTTTGATACCAACTTTTCCAGGAACACGATGTGGCAATGCCACCTCTCAGCCCAGGACTACCGCTATTATCCAGTGGATGGTTATTCGTTGCTTAAACGCCTCCCTCTTCACCCTCCTACAGGACCCCGATGCCCTGTCCAGACAGTGGGACAATGGTTGGAAAATATTGGGCTACCTCAGTATGAAAACCACTTGCTGGCTAATGGATTTGACAATGTGCAATTCATGGTAAGAAATCTTCCGTGCATAGCTGTGTATATACACTGTAGCTGCCTTTTTTGTCTGTCTCTTATGTGCTCATAAGAACCTTAGAGCTATTCTGCATTGCACTAAGATCTGTTTAGTGTTTCACTTTTCTATGTGTAGCTGAATTAATATATAAGCTGCCTTTTTATAAACTTCCAGACTGTACACATTACAAAAGAGTTTAGCCTGAAATTTGGTAAAATAAAAACTGAGTATTAATGTTCTTTCTCTCCCTCATCGATCCTCCGATTAAAGAAGAAAAATGCACAGTTCTTTTAATCCATTGCAGGATTTTCCTAGTATGAAAAAGCTGCAAACACCCCTTTCTGCAGTACATCACATTCTTACTTTTATTTCAACATTAACTTGTAATGATAATTAAAGAACATGCAATGCCATTTTTGCCTTGAGAGGTATTTTAATAACAGAAAATTATTTAATGAAATGTGCACTCTCTGCAAGTAATTCTGGATGTCTCGGTTAAATATTTTTGCATCTCAGATAATCAGGCTACGGGATTCACTTGTTGAAACCTATGCCCTGAGAGAAAAAGTAATGCATTCCTATTAATTGTTCCATTTTCATGTTTTAACTCTCGGCATTTATCAGGAATGTTTGAATAAAATGAAATTTTAGTTAGGTCAGGATTTACAGTATCACCATGTGGTGTAAAGTAACAGACCTGTCATGCACAAACTTTCCATTGAAATGAATATTGACAGTAAAGACAGAAGCTTACTTGTACAGCTGTTATATAATCACTTTTCTACCTGCTTCAGTATTCCTTCTTCTTGAGGCTCGTCCAAAAGTCCTCACTCCATTACTTAAAAAGTATCAGAGATTAAAACATATTTTAAAATGTCTTTGAAATATATTTTAAGTACCCATATATATCTTGGAACAATTCTAACTTTTCATAACTTTTATCTGCCATATAAGAAGCAGAAGTGAAATGACATGAATATTATAGCAATAGAATCATCACATGACTTGTGTCCTTTCTCTTTAAATTATTTTGCCAACATCATTATATGCTTTTGGAATACTGACCAAAAAAATTAAGGAACATCTCTGCCATTTTCACATTATAATAGTTTAGATGTTTCCTCCTGTTTTTACATGGCTGCCATGTGATCATTTGCTTAGGTCAGTAAAAATCATTGTAATATGTACCTTTAAATATTCTTTAAAACATATCTGTGCTGTCAGCCCAGCAATATGGGGGAAAAAAAAAGTGTTTCATGCTGCAGTTTCCCAAAATGTAACATATTCTTATATATGTTGTAGCATTCGTTACATAAGTAGGTGATCATTTAGTCTTAAAGAGGTTACAAAAGGAAACTGTTCACAGGAGGCTGTAGGTGGCATAACAAATGCAGAGGGGTACACTTACCACTGGTAAATTATGAGCACCAGAGAAGTCAAATAACTGCCCTGGAGGGCTTTTCAATTGTACCCTGGCTCTGGAAGGGCCTGAAACATGTCCTCAGGGAATTTATATGACTTTCCTACATCTCTTATTACTGTATTTATGTAAACATACAAATTACATACAAGATTTTGCTATGCAGTATACAAACCAAACTTCTAGTGTATGAGGCAGATTAAGATTAACACTGTTACCCAGTGTTTTCTGGTAATTTTAAGCTTTTTTGATATATTACAAATAAAATACATAATTACTCTTGATATTAGCTGAGGTAGCATGAATTGAATGGAAGATTAGACTTATAAATCCAATAACAATAAAACAGCTGTGAAATTGTGTAGTAATAAAAAAAAATATAATTTCAATAGTTTTATAATTTCCAATTTATTGATTTCACTATTTATCACACTTTTACATCTTTTGGCTTTTGTCTACCAGAAATCAAATATTTCTTATATTTTATTGGAAATAAACCACCAATTTCTTTTTATATTATATAAATTTTTATATTACTCAGCATTATGTAAGAAAAACCTCTCTTGAAAAATTTAAATGAGTGTTTTAAAAGCTATTTTTCATCCTATCCAAAATATTAAAGGAAAAATTAAACTTAGAAAGTATATAGAAAAATGAGAGGAGAAGCATCTCTTATGCTGAGGAAAATTCAGATGATTCCAAACTTAGTATGTTGTATTCTTCCTTAATATGACAGAACAGCTTTACCTTTATTACAGTGGTTTGCATATTAAACTAGAGCTTAAAATCTTATTAACTCAAATGTTTCAGATAGGTTAGCTGTTTTGCATTGAAGAAATCCAATAGTTCAATGCAGTAAAAACCAGTTAAGATGTATTTTTTATTCATTCTGTACTATATTCCTGCTTTTGTTTTTTCTGGAAGCACATTCTGACCTGCATTTATCCATTCTGTTGCCTAAGCAACAACCATCACACTCCTATTAAGTATGATTTAGTAGTACAGGTCTTACTAGCTGTTCAGAACAGAAGAGGGAATATCACAATGTTATAATTAATGTCCATGGAATAACATACATCTGAGAACAAATATATCCCATACATACTATTCTCAACAGCAAAATTCTATTAATTAAATTAGCATTTTAATAAAAAGGTAATTTTCTGATAAAAAGATTTCATGGTTAATTGTTCATTAGATCATGGAAATTAACTCCTTGTGTTTAGTCTCCCTTGGGCATTAGGAAAGTTATTCACTAGACTGTAGTTGGAATTAGGAAGATTTGTTTATCTTACCTGAAGTGTGTGGACTTTATATGAAGAAACAGCTGGATTCCTAATAACTTTACAGTATAAATATTTTTCAGTACTTCATCAATGTGTATGTTTTAAAAATGCATTGAAACATATTATTTTAAAAATTAGCATTTATTCATTAAATACTTTATTTCTACTTACGGCATGTATGCGCACATAGCAAGTGCAGCTCCTACCCACTGCTAGTGTCGTGCAGGAATGACACTTCCATAATATTTAGTAGGCCCCAGACAAATTCATTCCCAAGATGTGGTTCACATGTGCTTGAATATGTACATGAATACACAATCATCATTAACTTTGGTAATTTGTTGTGTAATAGGCTGCAGTGTCCTTCAGATGTAAAAATTTGTAGTGACTTTGTGGAGATACTCTGTATTTGAAGATGCAGATGATACTGCAGTTTCTTAACGTGAAGGCTATTTTGCAGGTAAACCAGTTCCAAAATGCAAGAAAACAATTATAAATCACAGTATACGAACTAGATTTAAACAATAAAAAAACTTATGCATCTTTTTGATGCATAGGTACAATGGATATCCCTGGGAAAAGCTTTAATTTTAGGCAGACTTGCAGGCCTACATCACTTAGTATGCTGAGGGGAAAAATAAAAGTTGACTTGCAGAGAAACAGATGTAAATATATAAATGTGTGAGGTCACTAAAAGCTCTCATGCAGTTTTCTGCAACTGTGAAACTTCATCAAAGACTCCATTCTGGGTTCACAGAGATAAAAGCAGTTCAAACAAATCACTGCCCAGTGGAGACTAGTTCTGATTAAGGACTGTATATGACTATCTATTTGTAGGTTGTCCTAATCATCTAAGATATTCTGAAGTTTTATCACTTATTATTGAAGTTTGATGAAAAAAATGTCCCTTAAAAAGATTCATAAAACACACTGTGACAGAAACCAACATTCAAAGTAAGTTAACAGAGAAATATGAAGCATTTTATTATATTTTTGACATTCTAAAGCCTGATGCATAAGATAGCGTGTTCACTATCAACAGTTTATATTTGCATTACTCTCTAGGCTTTCATTGCTACTTTTAAAAGACATTCATCTCTACCCCTCCAAACTTATGTGGCTTGCATTGCCTAATGGTCTAAGTATTGCATAAGTGGTTTGCTTTTGGTTTTGTTTTGGTTTTTTTTAGTTCTCTCTTTTTCACTGTTGGAAAACTGAGACATAGAGTGACAGCAGGGTGGGATTTAAAACTCATACATTTGGTACAAAAGGCACTAATTCTCAGGATACCTACTGACATAATGTTTAACAGATCAAGTAAATTGCTTAAATGTAGGTGTCTAGTACCGATTCAAATACCACAGGGAATCCAGGAGATCTAGACAAGGCTGACAATATTCCTGAGGACCAGAGACAGCCAGGCCCTTCATGATTAGCAGCTCAAGCTCAGATGTGATATCACCGAGCTCATCAGGCACCTGTAGTGTCCTTATGCTTTTGCAGCTGAAATGAATCTTGAATTACACAGTTTGTGACATGTCTAGAAACTGAACATGGATGTCTTGAGCTTCCGTTTATTTGTATATGCCTTTCTTTACATTCTAATAATTTTCTGTATTGTATTAATTCTGTGTTCTTACCTGCAGAAGTATTGACCAAGTATCTCACTGGTAGGCATGGTCTACCATCTCAATTCCCCTTAGCTGACTGCTTTGGATCTAGTTTTGAGTTAAATTTTGTGTTTTCTTTCTCCCTTCCTCACTCTTTTTTTCTTTGCTTTTTTTCTTTATTTTTTTTTACTTGTTCTGGAGGTTGATTAGCAGAAGTTTATCTGAAGACTCTCTTCTCTCAGGTGTCATTCCTAGGAATTCCTCCTCTGGAATACACAGTAATTCTTCTTGCCTTTAATCTCTCTTGAGGATCTTAAACTCTGTATCAAGTATAGAAGACGGAAGCAATTTTATTTCCTTAGAGTGAAACATACCTAAAAGAAAATCTCTATATGCATTAGCTCCAGGTCCTGCAGTTGTGAACGCCATCAGATCTTTTGACCAAAAATATCTAGGGCAGAGATTGATGATTTAGACATTAGATGAAAGCTTAAAAAGTCCCTGTCAGTTTCCCAACACCTTTCTTAAATTAACTGTGTGTCTAGTGATGAAAAAGAGGAAAATTTTAGATAAGGCTTCTAGTCTGTAGTGACTTTCGTGTCTTCCAGAAGCCAACTCCTAACAAGCAGAGCAACCTCTGCATGCACTCCAGGCTTTCAGCTCTCCAGGCCCATAATGGCT